CATCGGGATTGCACTAAATCTGTATAGCTATATTGGGGTATGGCCATTTTTACTAGAACTGAGATGACTACATACTTTTCAGATGAAGAAATATAAATGTCAAATAAATATATAAAAATGTTCAACATTGCTGGTCACTTGAGAGATGCATATTAAAACATGCTGAAATTCCATCTCACTACAGAAAGAATAGCAGTTATTGAAAAATCAACTTATAATAACAGATGCTTGCAGGGCTGTGGAGAAAAAGGAACCCTTCTCCGCTGCTGATGCGAGTATACACTGGTACAATAATTGTGGATTTCAGTGTAGAGATTCTTCAAAAACTAGGATGCAGCTATTCAATCTAGTTATTCTCCTTCTGGGTATTTTGCTGGAAGACCTGAAAACATCATACAACAGTAACATATGTGCATCCATGTTTGTAGCAGGACAGATTGTAATAGCTAAATGTTGGGAAACAATGCAAATGTCTAGAAACTGAGGAATCGGAAAAAAGATGCATTTTTAATACAATGAAACACTACTCAACCATAAAGAAGAATAAATTGAGACATTTCTAGGTAAATGGGTATATCTTGAGACCATACTTTTAAGGGAAATAAATAGTCTTTCTTTGATGTGAAAAACTGAAAGGTAAATAAGGATTAAAGTGCATAATAAGATGCTGAAGTAAGAAGAAATATTCAAAAAAGAGAACTAGATAATGGTGAGTGTAAAAGGAAAGGAACAAATGATAAAAGAAAAATAAGTTGGAAATAAATCTTTTTAAATAAGAAGGGTAAGAGCAATTAAAAGAATGGGAGGGGATTGGGAAAAAAAGAGAAAACAGAATATATCATGTATAGGTATGAATTCCCTATGATGAATGTGATCACTGTGTACACCTAAATTGTGCTAATAACCTTCATAAAGTAATAAAGGTTATTCAGTACAAAGCATAAACCAAAAATACTTTTTACAAACAAGAAGACACACACACACACACACCCACACACACGTTACACAAGCTTTTTTCCCAACCATGACAAAATATGACTATAAATAAAACAAATTAGCATACAACTGAAATATTTTTAAAACAATGGAATATGAAATTTGGATTGTATTTGAATTTTTCCCTATAAAAACAAAGATTATACGGTTTTGATCATTAATTTTGTTGATGTATTGCACTGATTTTCTGTGAGCATCCTTGCATCCTTGCATCTCTGAAATCAATTCTATTTGGTTATAGTTTACAATCTTTTTAGGAGCTGTTGGAGTCAGTTGCATAGTATTTTTTGAAGGCTTTTACATTATTTTTTTCAATGGTACTGGCCTGTAATTTATAAGGCTTGTCCATGAATGAATACAAAATTGTATTTAAAAGGTGTAGTGTAATTTCTGACCTATACATGTAATATTATATATACATATATATATATACATATATATATATATATTTGTATTTGAGTATGTATAATATATACTATATATGATACATATAGTATTTATGTAAGTATATATAATGTTTTTGCTGAATGTTGGGTTACTTAGGCTTACAACATAGATAGGCTGGAGATGTGACTCAAATAAAATGAGTTTTTATAAAGGATTCCTGTGTGAGAGGAGGGATATCAAAGTGGCCAGACTGATAATGATATCTGCTAAGAAGAAATTGTATTGAATAAGAGAAAAGGACTGTTTTTTCTGCCTCTCAGTTAACCTATCTATGGCTTTCAGGTAGCCTCCCTGGCTGAGAATCTGTAGCCTAAGGCTGCGTAGAGAGTGATGGATGTAGTTATCTGACACACACAGATTGTTTCTGCAGACACCTATTACTATCAGCCCCCAAGGCCAAGGCTCTGCTTCTAGGCCTTTGATAGATAGTTTTTTCCTGGGCCTGGAAGCAGAGTGTGAAGCTTATTCTGAGATATTGCAGAGGAGCATACTCATATGGGTACCATCATTCTTGCTCTAATCAGCATAGTTAACTAATCAAGAATACTCCCTACTGCCCACTGACTCTACTAGGCTGCTTATAAAGCTCCAATTTGAGAGCCTCTTTAGTTATTACTCTGTTAAGGGGCTGAAGAGAAGTTGGTGGTATTTTCTGCTGATGTGAACAGGTAAGGAGACTACATGTATAGGTACGAACTTGAAGGAAAAAACTAAAGGATGAGGGATGATATAAAGATAGAGGAAGAATAAAAGATGAAACTATTGGCTAAAGTTTTTCAAATATAGTTGAGTGCAGGCAATGCTGGAAAATATTGGAATAGGGAAATAGAGGACAAAAAGGAAACTAAAGGGGAAATAGAAATGGAGATAAATTTAGAACTCTCTTCCTATGACCATGATTGCACAATAAGCAGTTAGTATTATTGGCTAAATCTTTCTATTCTTCCAGATCTTGCTTTAATAGGTAGCACTGCAGCATGAAACACAACCAAAATTTCAATCATGTCACATTCCAATAACAAAAAGGAGATGACAAATGCATACCTAAATATAAGCATCAATTCCATCTCCCTACTGGGAATCAAATTAAATGTCCAAGCACAAGTGATATGAAGATTTAGCAATGGGAATTTGCAGTTTAATGTGTCTTAGGTTTGTCAGAGCAGGTTCTGGGTTATGGAGGAACAGAATTAGAGTTGACAAATGCATAGATGGCAAAGGTTGGAAGTGATGAGGGTGAGACTATATCATTATTGATGCCAGAAAGTGAGAATGTTGACACTTGAATCACTAAGGTATGGAACTGTGGGGGTCTCATTTAAATTATTATGTATAGGTATGGGCAGATATTACCTCTCTCCAGACCAACAAGATGGAGATTTGTAACTGAAGTGAGAATGCTCTAGTCCAATTTTTTGTTCTGGTTAGTTAGCAATGTATGCAAAAAACTTGTTGAAATTAGTGTGTTGTCCTACAATTGAGTCCAGAGTGTAAGTTTATAGAGAGAAGAGCCTGTCTCTTCTTTTTGGCTACATATGTCCATTCCATGAGGCATACAATCTCCAGCTGCAAAATGAGCCACCACTTTCTCTTTTCCTACTCATCTCACCCATGTTCTTTGTGTCTTTTGCAAGACATGTTTTAAAGAACAGAGCATAATTAGTACGTGCCTTATCTATAATTTAATTATGAATGACTTTTCCACTCCAAGTTCCCTTTCCACACACCAGCACACTGGAGTACATGTAATGCAAACATTCGTGACACATATTTCAAGTAAATTTGGAACCCACAGTATTCTTTAAAGAGCCATGAAGACACATCATTTCTTTTACTATAACTATCTCTTCTTGAATCACGTTTATACAATAGAATAGAATTTTATTTAATACAGGAACTCACAACATGCAACCATGTAGATTATCTCATGTGGCTTGCCTCTCTGAGGATTTGAAATTTAGTAAAATATAATGGAATTTGGATTTAGTAAGTCTGGTTTTGAGTTTTGAATATGTATTCATTTGCCTTGGATATAAATGACTTTGCTCCATTGTTTTCTGTAAAACAAGAGAAAAATCTCTTTTTGGAACTTTTTCTAGGATTATATAAAAGTATGTATAAATAGATCAGCAAAATGTATGATATATGCAAGGAATACTATTTTCTTTTTCTCTTAGTATACACTCTCTGTTCTCCCAATGATAGCAAATTACACCCTATAATGTCTAGAGAGGTAATCTCCCATGGCTCATCATTTCCTCAAAACTTCCAGGCTGAGTCCATATTTCTGTAATCTTAATGTATTTCTCCATCCTTTGTCATGTAAAAATATAGCAATATGCATAATGTGCCAATCATTGTGTGTTTTTGGAAAAACTGATGAGCAACATGTTTTTATTCCCTGTTGGGCATTCTAATGGGATATAGAAATATGATCCAGTAGGAATACTGAATGTTATAAAAGCATGCATAAATTAATATTTGTGTTGCACAGTAAATTTTGTATTACATAAAAATTCCTGGATAGGTATCACAGAATAAGAGACCTAATATTTCAATTTGTGGGCCCACATCCATCTGTCTATTTCTTAGATCTTCTCTTTTTGTTATTTCCTAATTCAATTTCACTTGTCACATACTGTGGAATATTTCCCATGCCTTGTGCCATGCCTGAAATTCAAGCATGGACATAGCTATGTCATAAAAGAAGGAAATTCATGAATTTGGAATAATTCTGTAAATTGATGCAACTGGTTCAACCATCAAGAGAAGAATGAGAAACAAGGAAGAGTGCAGAATTTATTCCTGTGTCCTCACGATAACATAAAAGAATGCAATCGTTCATGGTCCCATTGTAAAGTAGCAATAAAGCAGGGTGTGTTCTTCACAGTGAATCATTAAATTCTCATCATGACCTTACCAAAATATCATGACAGAGGTAGAAACCAAAATGGCACAAGGTATTTTGTCTAGACCTCCTGGAACTAAATCAGGACATTTGAAGTCATTTATTCCAGAACAGTATTTGGAAATCTGGATAAGATTTTTTTCAGACAGTTCACCCACAGTAAACAGGTTCAAAATCCTCTCAGCTTAGTGGCTTTTATGTGCTTTTTACATTATTTTCCATTATTTGATCATCCAGATGTGATCCGATTCACATATATAGCTTGGAGACTTAATCAAAAGCCCTATGAGTTTGTTCTTGTGAGAGCCATTTGGCTGGAATATGGGCATCTGTGTGATATAATTCTATAAGCATTTCTTTTTTGAAGTCAAGACTGGTTTGAAATATAATGTTTGAATGAGCCTGAAGAGTCAATGCTTACGAACTTGAAATATACCTAAACCAGAGGCAGTGAAATGGGCCAGAATCTAATAAGAAAATTCTAAGACACTATAGGCATATGTGATAGCTCTAATTACCTAATCTCTGTAGAGATTAGGTCAAAAGTTTTAAATAAAGAGACACAATTGTGTGATTTGGGAAGGATTTATTAAAGGCTTAGGATTCCCAATAAAGCTCCAATGACAAATACTACCATTACTGTGTTTGCTTTCAGGGGTGTCCTCCACTCACCATGTTAATTTTCAACAACACTACATCCTCCTCCTCCAGCTTCCTCCTCACTGCTTTCCCTGGGCTGGAACTCGTGCATGTTTGGATCTCCATTCCTGTCTGCTGCCTGTACACGGTTGCCCTCTTAGGGAACAGCATGATCTTGGTCATCATTGTTACAGAGCGGAGTCTCCACAAACCCATGTACTATTTCCTCTCCATGCTCTCAGTTGTTGATCTGTGTCTGACCATCACAACCCTTCCCACTGTGCTTGGGGTTCTTTGGTTTCATGCCCGGGACATCAGTATTAAAGCTTGTCTCATCCAAATGTTCCTTGTGCACACTTTTTCCTTCCTGGAGTCCTCGGTGTTGGTGGCCATGGCCTTTGACCGCTTCATGGCCATCTGTAACCCTCTGCAGTATGCTGTTGTCCTCACAGACATGATGAGCCTGGTGATAGCACTCACTGTGTTCCTACGGCAAGTAGTTTTCTTTTTCCCCTGTGCTCTGGCCTTGATCAGTGTGTCTTTCCATGGAGGTCACGAACTTTCCCATCCATTTTGCTACCACCCAGATGTGATCAAATTCGCGTATTCCAACGCTTGGCTCACCAATTTTTGGGGGATGTTTCTTCAGCTCTACCTGAATGGCACTGACTTATTGTTCATTCTTTTCTCCTATATCCTGATCCTTCGAACTGTTCTGAGCATCGTGACCCCAAAGAAGCAACAAAAAGCCCTCAGCACTTGCGTCTGCCATATCTGTGCAGTTACAGTTTTTTACGTGCCAATGATCAGCCTGTCTTTAGCCCACCGCCTTTTCAGTTCCACTCCAAGAGTGATCTGTAGCATTTTAGCCAATATTTATCTGCTGTTACCACCTGTGCTAAACCCCATCATTTACAGCTTGAAGATAAGAGTGATCCGTCAGGCCATCGTGCAGCTGCTCCAGTTCAAAAGTTTAAGGGACACCAAAGTGAGAAGACTCTGGGGAAGGTGGAACCGAAGGGGTATAACTTCTAGCACATAAATTATGGTTAAGGAGGGAAGAAATTTGGGACAGTGTCCTCCACAGACATTGTGGGGACTGAGGATGGTCCAACTGGATCACAGGAGTGAGAAGAACTTTTCCTTCAGTTTATGAAAGAGATTAAAAAACATCATAGTTCAAAACCAAACGAATTGCTTACATGTTTCTCAAACTTTTAAAACAAATACATTAAAATCATTTTAATCCATTGGAACAATGTATCTGCTCAAGCAATAATTCTTTGACAAGACACAAATTATAATAATTTTATTTTTATATTCAATTGAGTAAGATTTGTTTTTCCCTGACATTAAATTTTTATTTTTTTAGGAGACAATGAAAATTTTTCCCTGATCTGGTAAAGGGAAAGTTACATGTGTGTGGAAAGACACACAGATAGACATTTGTAATTGGAAACTTGGAAAATCCTGTGCTCTGTTTTTCATTCTTAGAGTCATTTTTAGAGAGATGTACTGACCGTAATTCTATCTTAATCATTTTTTGTAGCAACAGTGGTACTTTTAAAGTTCTAATTGCTGTTTTATGTTTCCAATAGGTCCATTATAGATGTTCATCTTACCTTTTGTTATTTTTTTATTATTTAAATATTCTAATATATTTCTGATTTTAATTCCATAGTTCATTCTGATTGCAAAGTGTAAGATGGAGAAAATAATAGGTTACAGTTATTTCAATAGCCTTGAAAAACCATCTAGAGGAGCAGAAACAGATTATGTCGGACTCGATTGTTTAGGTTTCAGAGCTGACCTGGCCTTAGGACTGGATCGTTTGTCAAACACACCTGCTGGTTTGCATCTCGCTGTTGGCTGCACCCACTCCCATTGTACTTGTTAATGTAGAGTTTCAGGGTGACTTTGATGCTGTTCAGAAACCTTGACACTATCTTTATTAAGAGTATTTAATTTGTGAAGAAGTAATCTCAGATACCGAATTGATATGATGTTAGGGGTAATTCTGCATTTTTCTTCCATATATATTTGTGAGATGTTATTTATACTCGGGATAACTGATGCCTGAACACAGTGCACTTAGTAGGTGTTCTGATTTGAGTGACCCTCCCCATAAGTCTCATACTCCTTGACAGATAGAAACATGACCAGGCCCAGACTGCTTTGTTTGCACCAGATTTTTATTAATCTGCATTGTTCTGGTGCAACACGGTTCGTTTGTGATTGTGTTTTGCTAAAACTACCACATGCTTTTTATCAAATAATTACCAATAGCAATCACTTACTATTCATAATCAAATAATTTTCCTCAACATATGTCATTGGTATTATACAAACATTCCAAATTGTGTGGAGGAGATCATTATTAAATTGAGAAAACCAAGGCAGAGATCAATATAATAAGCAGTGTAGTTGGAAATAAATTTCAGTTTTCCAGTTTCCATGTCAAACACGACAACCAAAAGCATTTTTGATTTTGTGCACTTTGGAAGTCTTTGTAATTCATTATATCACATTTTAGTGTTTTGTATTTCAAGTTTAACTTCTCATATTGCTTCCAAATAAATATCTCTTTGGTTCTGTTCTCTTTAAGGGAAAACAAAATAAAATAAAGCCCAAAACAAGAAAGTATGAGTATTATGCAAAAGTTGCAGTCTAAGACACATCTTATATCTAGACACTTTCTGCAGAAAAAGGATCAAGGGAGGGTCTCTTTTTTAGACTGATACCTGTTAGTAATCCCTGGATAAAACTACAAGTTATTTTTGACATGACTTTGGATAAGAATTTGAGGGGTGGAATAGGTCAGAGCAGACTGTCAAAGAGTTGGGCATTCAGAAGTGCTGGAGAAAGTTCCTTGGCATTATCTGAGGATGGAATGTGGGCTGAGAATGAGACTTCCAGAGACAGCGTCACACAGTGGCAGACACTCTGACCCTGATGGAGTGGCTGTCTCTCATCAGGGTCTCATCTAAGCATCAGACCATGTCTGCATCAGTTCTTACGGATATCTAGGGCATTGTGCTACTGTGTTTGAAGACTTTAGAAGTTTTTTTTTTTTTTAAATATAGATCTATTATTCCTTATTAACATTTCAGAAATTTAAAAGCACTTAGAAAAACAATTCTTTAATATTTCCCTTACAGTCAAAGTTAACTGGCCAAATACTCTAAAATGAGCTCATGTGAATATAATCGTGGTCACTACTTATTCTACATCATGGGAATGTTCACACATTATACTTCAGAAAAATCGTTTGAATACCAAGTAATGTTTCCAAGACTCTATGGGCTTTTTAATGTATAAAAATTCTAAATTTTAGGAGTTTTAGATGATTGCTTGTGGGAGAGTGTGACTGTCCTACTTTTATCATTATTGGTACCTGAAGCAAACTTCCTTACATGTGTTAGTTTTCTACTTCCCCAAGCATAACTTTTTATAACTTTCTCAACATGTAACCTGTCTACTCTACATCAGGAACATTTTTATAGATGTGCTTTGTATCTATCGTAGAAATTATAAATAAGATAAGAATTTGTGCTTTCTTGTAGTTTCTAATCATACGTTTAATGTATTTGACTTTTCTCATTAGGTCACATTTAATATATATATATATATATATATATATATATATATATAACACAAAAATTTGTGACTACATGAATAAGTATAGAAAATTATTAAAAAGATAAGGATTGTTCACAACATTGCTGATGGAATATTATGTATGACTTGATCTTTTAAAAATTTTTGTTGCACTTGATCATATTTTACTATGTGAATGCATAGACACAAATACATACATATATTTCAGTTAGGATAACTGTATAGTTACATGTATATTTTCCTTATTTTTGTGACTCAATAAATTCTATAAAATCATATTTTATATTAGACTTCACTTCCTGAAGGAAACTTTTAATTCTCCTTTAAAATGCATAATTTATCTTTTTATATGTGCTTGAACTTACCACACTTAAACAGTGAATGTAGTAATTTATTTGTTCTCTCCACCTCTATCAGATGCTTGAAGTGAGACCTGTCTTTTGTACTCTTCTTAATATTTATAGAATATATTACCTAGTAAATACTTCTTAATTGTTAATGTGGGGTTGTACGGGTGAAATAAATGTTTTTAATAATATTTTATCATACTTTATAGTTCTATTTACTACTATTTAACATTTCAGTAACTCGATATATATTTGTGTAAGCATATATTTGACAACACCACTGATTATATTCTTAAATTCCTGTAAATATAAATTATTAAATTTGGAAGAAAGAAAAATAATTTTGAATCTAATATTGACTGAATTGTAGGACTAAGCATCATATGGTCTGGAGTTACATTCAATCTCTGAAAACTTTGCGACTCTATATATTTGGGAACTTGTTAAATGCTTTGGAAAACTTTACTATTCCAATGTTCAGAATTAGAGGAGATAATAAAATCTATTTCCTGTGCTCTTGAGAAAGTTAGTGTTAAGAGAAGTAAACAGCTCAGTGCTTGGCATCTTGTAAATGCTGAATGTGTCTTACTAGTTTTCAAGTCACAACTATGTAAATATTATTTATATAGTTAACTGCATTTTAACACACTTTTCTATTGTTACTTCCTTAGGAAAATGTTCCCATCCAAAGACTATTTATGTCTTGCAGTTAAGTAAAACTGAGAGCTATCATTGTACTAGATTATTATTTTAATTCAGTTACTTGTGTGACAAAATATTAAACATATTTTAAATATGTTATTCTTTCTTACAGTATTATTTGACCAGTGGATTTGTTTTGCTTAATGTTCTGATATTTTCTTAATCACATGTTAAATGTTCACATATATGGTGCATTGGAGTGCATCTTTTACTTTTTTCTGTTGTGCTCATTAATTTATTGAACAAATTATACAATTTTACATCTGTTTAATAAATTTTATGATTATATTGACTGTTTTTATTTATTTATATCCCGTATCTTCCAGTACATTATCATTATTTTGACAATTTCCCAAAATGTTATTCCAAACTTAATGAGAAATTAATGAGAAACTTAACGAGAAATGTGTCATAATTCTACAAAGACTAATTTTTTTTATTGTATTCGCCCTTCTGATCCAGAAGCAAAATTTATTGTCACTTTATGACTTAGTCATTTCTGCCTGAATCAGATTTTAATTTTTGGGTTTAGGTGAACACCAAAAAAAGTATATACATTGTTTCTCATATCTTTTATGCTGATGTTTGCATCTTCATTGATTTGATAGCAGACGAACCATTTTTTGAAGGCCAATTGATTCAAAATTACTAATTATGCCTCATGATTTGGACAGTAGGATTTCCTATTATTCTAGATGCTCATTGCCCTTGTAATTTATTATCACATTTAAAGCTGTCAAAGTTAGTTTTGGGGGGTTTTGGTCCAGCTGTCTCCCTCAAACAAGTTAGGAAATGTGTCAGTCTACTAGCCACATGTCAATTTATAAGCACTGTGGAAGTACTAGTGCTACGCCAATAATTTCAGTTTGTACAAACTTTTAGAAACATTGAGAACAAAAAACAGCAGGAAGAACAGACTTGAACTAAGTACTATAACAAATTTTGATTCATTAAGAAAGAACAAACAAGAGGCAATCAAGTTCAATCCTACATAACTTGTTAGATGGTTATCTACTTAGCATAAGCTCTTGAAAAATGTATTTGAATTCACCCGGAAACATAAAATATACTATTATTTAGTCAACAGAGAAAAACTTTTTCAAAATTGTTCTTTGTAACAGAAATAATATTAATTGTTCAACTTATGCAAGCAGTAACACATTCAGAATTATTAGTAATAGTTTTTCCTCAACTCACGTACAAAATGCTAAGGATTGGCTTATTCTGAACACTACTTATACCTTTGTCTAGTAATAAATGGTCATAAATAAAAGACAAATCATAAAGAAAGGAATTTTATAAAACATTTGAGGAACCCAATCGTCATTAGATGTTTATTTTAAAAATATGGAGTCGTACATGCATACACAATACT